ACGTCCGATGAAGGAATTGGCCTCCTTTTCAGGTGTGAACACTAAGGTTTTTTAAAAAAATCAAGGGGATTTAAAACAAGTTAGGAAGGCTAAACTAGGTATTTTTAAAGAATGGTTAATATCCTAAAGGAGCACACTGAGATCACTTCTTGCCCTAGCAACTCTCAGCTACATACAAGAAAAGGAAACATTAAGGTCTCATCCTAAAATGTCATCTTTGCTTCTGTCTCTTCTAGCTATGTAATGTAAAATAAACGTATTTTCCTTTCTCGTAAAACATTTCAGCTATTCCTTATTCTGGCCAAGAGAATTTTTCATGACAACTGTTGGTCAAGTTTTGATGTTATCCCTTCTGGGATGTGGCTATTGGTTTTTACTGGAAGCATAGAACCATCTGGGTTGGAGGAGACCTCTAAGATTATCGAGTCCAACCCTTAACCTGTCACTGCTGGAACCCCTAAACCCTAAACCATATCCTCCAGTGTCAGATCCAGATACCTCTTAAACACCTCCAGGGATGGTGACTCCCCCGACTCCCTGGGCAATATCCCAGTGCCTCAACACCTTAACAGGGAAAACATTTCCCTAACATCTAACCTGATTCTCTCAACTCTTTCTGCAGCCATGGCAGGAGAGACATCCCCCACCTCTCTCCAACCCCTGTCAGGTGGAGCTCTTAAGAAGAAAGTAATAAAGCAGAAATTCAGTCAGATCTGAACTAAGCAAGACACTGACCTTCTGGAGGAAGGAGGCAAGGCGGGAGAGGGTGGTGGTGGAAGAAGGAAACCAAAGCAACTCTTCCTTCTAAAGAGTCCTCAATATAAATTTACCAATGTTCTGGTATCTGTGAGTACCTAATTTTGATTCAGAAATTTGATTCTTAAGCCATGACAGCAAACTCCCATTCATTTTACATTTGTTCTCTTTACACAATCCCAGAACCAAACTGGATGGAAAGGTCACCATGTTGCCAAGTTTATCTGTTTTAACTTAGTCCACAATGTGGATTTTACTGACAACAGGCATTTCTGAAGACACTGAATTCTCTTCCTCTTTATTGCTTCCTACAGGCTCCGTGAGGCCTCATGGAGTAAGTTGTGAGGTGAGATTCCAGGACAGTGAGTGAAATTATAGAAGGCTTTGGAATACAGGAATGTATTTTCTCACCAGGCATTTTCCATAGTCAAGTTTTAGCCTGCTCTTGTACAGTTTCTTAAGAAGAGAAAAAAAAATCTTTATATGACAAACTAGGTTTCTGCTTAGATTTCAGTGAAATCTGTATCCAAGAAGTTCAGGCAGTTTGGTTAAGCAAAATGACTAGAGGATTATTTTTGCAAGTGTAATGCAGAAACGGCATTGTTCCATACCAGGCCAGACAGCTAAAAAAGGAGATGAGATTCAGTATAAAGTTACTCAGTTACAAATTAGCTTTGTGTTCTTGTTAGCTTGTTTGGCTAGATTATCACATCCTTCAGGAATTTTTACCCTAACAGTTACTGTTAGATTTTGCAATGGTATCTCAGAATGGTTTGCTCTCTGCAAACTGAGAGAACTGCAGTGTAACTTGCATATTGGTTGTTTGGGTCTTTAATATTATAACACATTTAAGGAATATTACAGCATATATTAGTATAATTTACATACAGTAGATATTGCAGAAGCCACAGGCATTTGTGCAGGAAGGGAAATCTGGTACTCTAAGATTAAAATGTTTGTACTATATGTACTATACCTAGGAGTAACCAGAGATGACTTAATAAAAACAAAACCAAAACAACGTCAAATGCACAAGTGGAAAGGGAAAAGAATTACATGGAAAGAAAACATCAATATTCTTGGTTCAGTGCAAATCAGAAAAATAACATCAGCCTTCTGAAAGAGATCCTCAGTTTTGCTCAGTAGTGTCTCACTCCTTGCCATGCCAGTAGTATTAGCTATACTTCTGATTAACTGGATGCATTTTAATTTAATTGGAATGCTTGGTAAGCTGCCTGGAGCCTAAGACCAGCAATTCCCAGGGATACATTGACCCTTTTCTGAAGATTCTTTATCCATTCATCTGCACTTCTTTCACTTTACCACATAGTCAAAACACACCTCTCTCTACCTCCAATTTACCTGCAACCTGCTGAAGAAGACATTATTTGGAGAATAAAACAGATGGAATTGAATTCTCTCCTAAACGTGAGGGACCTGAATGCAGTTCTGCAGTCCTTGGTTGGATGCAGTTTTAGGATACCTAGCATTTAATTAAAACTGCACCTACACAATGTGCTCAGGAAACTGCTGGTAAAAGAAGTCTGGAAAATGCTGAAAGGATAACCTCTCAGTGCTCTTGGCAACTGCTCCACCTGCTAAATTATTGGATAAAGAGTTGGACCCTTCTCTTTCTGCCTCCATCTCTAAAGGAGGAGTGTCTGGGCCTATTTTCAGGAGAGAGTTCTGTGCTGTGAGCTCGGAGGGAAGAGACAGCCTGACATTTTATGCCCAGAGCAATATGGATTTTAACGAATAACCTGTCTCAAGCATTTTTCTGCTCACCTCGTTTTCTGCTCCACATACTGCCCTGAAGGAGCCTCCTGCTCAATCTGATGACTTTTTAAGGTTGGTCTTAAAGTTTCAGCACTCCTTATCACTGAGAAGACTGAACAGATAAGTTACAAGTTCCTTTTTGAAGCCCTCATGCTTTAAATGTTAAGCATTGCACAGCTTAGCACAGCACTGCTCAAATCCTGCTGGGGGGCCTCATTTGTTTTTACATCAGGTCTTCTCCACTTCTCTCCCTTCAAAGTGAAGGACTAAAATAGCAGCACTATGCTTATTTTTCCAGGTGTTGTAAGGGGATCTGGTACTGACAAAAAAATACTGGTTTCAAAAACCAACCAAATAAACCCTTTCGAATACAAAGTGATTTTAGATAGACACAAACGCAACTGTGATGTGCTCAAATAGTACCAAAGCAGTACTGCTTTCATGCAGATTTCAGACTTTTTAAATTCTGATGTTACTTAAAGGATTCTGGTTTTATCAAGGACAAGTAATCCTGAAGACCTAGAGAAAGCTCAGCAGTCCCAATCTGCACTTGCTGCTGGATCTGATAAATACTAAATGTTAAGACCCAAGTCAATGATTAGTCATTTCAGCAAGAGATATTAAAATGTTCTCAAATTAAGCACTAAACAGCTTAATTTAAAAAGTAAAATAAATAAAAATACCCTCACAAGAAACAAACCAACAAAGCAAAGTTAGATACAATTTTGGAAAACATAAAGCTAAATTACCATCTTTCCATTCAGGTGGCTTCAACTTATTCACTCTCTCTGGGCAGTGAGGAAACGCAAACACCATCACATGCAGTTGACACAGCACTAGCAAAACCGCCAACATTGCCAGGATCTGTCAGACAGAAACCAACGTGAGTTAAGCAGAAATGACAACACAATCTTCTCAAGTGTCAGCAATGAACCCTGAATGAATCCTATCAATGAACTCATCCCGGCGCAAGCACCTACACGCAGCTGAGGCTAATGGGTCCCTAGAAGAAAGACACCGACCCGAACCGGTCCTGCCTGTCTGCTGCAGATTTCTCGTTGTGTAACAACATCGGCACATGTCACCGGGGCCACCGCACAGCAGCACCGCCCGCTCTGCTCTGCGGGCTGAGCAGAGCGACAGCCCCGCTCGCTGGGGAACCAGCGGGGAAAGATCCCCCCGAACGCTCCGGAACCGCGCGGAGCTCAGTTACAAAAACTCCCCGACGGCAACGGCTACAGAAACCTTTG